ACTCAAGGCAAACTGCGCTCGATAAGCCTTCTGTAGCTCCTTGGCGCGAGCGGGAATGGTCGGGTTCGAATCGTCCATCAATTCGATACCAACAGAATCCACCGCCTTGCGCAACCACTGCACACCCTCCCGTTGATTCGGTCGCATACCCCAGCCATGTCGACAAGCCAACGCGTAAAGTAACATTCCGGTTGGATGGTTCTGCTTGGCTGCAATGCGCAGGTGATATGTCGATTCATTCAAAGACCCTCTTTCATGGCATTCGATACCCTTGGTCACATGCTCATCCGCAGTAATCACAGCCGATGTTGTCGTGTTTGTGCGCGCGGTTTGCGGACGAACGGTCGATTCAGAACCTGCAGAGGAAGTGGCATCGGTGTGGTCTATCTTCGGGGCCTCTGCTTCCCGTTGTTCCGTAGAAGTATTTTCGGTGGGAGCGACCTCGGTAGGCTCAGGTTCAGTAGGTGCAGGCGCGGTAGGTACAAGCTCGGTAGGTGCAGGCTTCGCAACAGAAGGCTCGGGCTCGGGCTCAGGCTCGGCAGGAATCGCTGGAGATGGCCTGACTTCCGGAGATGGCGGGCTTTGTTGAGGCAGAGGGGGCTCCGGAGTCAAGTGACGAGCGGAAGCGGGAGACTCATACATTGAGCGCGTCTTCGAGTGGATTGAAGCCTGCAGAGAGGGGGTAGGCGACGGGGTCCTTGCGGGTTGCGGAGGTCCCGCTGTGCTGTGTCGAGTTGGGCTCTCGAACAAAGGCTCCTGCCACTCGAAATGAGGGGTTTGGAGGGCGGAGAAGACCACCGAATCCCTCGAAACCGCACGTCCCCGGGGCAGCGAGTACTTGGCATAGGTGTAGCAAGAAACAGCGGAAGATGGGTCTTCATTGGGGTTGATCGGCAGGTCCGCTGGCGATGGTACCACAATGGGACTAGGCTTGTGTCCACGATTGAGCGCGCCTTGCGAGTTGGCAACCGGCGGTTCCGGCGAAGCCCTCGGACCTGGGGCAGAGAGACTTGTGCTAGACCGACTCAAGGGACGTGAAAAGTTATAGGGCCGTTGAAGGTAATTGCCCGCGTTCGAAGTCTCGGAGCTCATGGACGGCGATCGGGGATGCGAGCGTGTCATGGAAGAGGACATCGAAGAGTATGGCAGTGATACGGCGCTGCTGGCGGACATCTTTCGGGGCTTTGAGAACGTCGACCCGGCATTCGAGCTGCTGTAGTCATCGTCAGAGCTTTCGGGCTGTACTGCTCGAGCACTACTCGATGGCCTAGACAGTGGCGATCCCGGGGGTGCTAGGCCTCGTGGGGGAATGTTCAAGCGAGAGACAGAATCAGTCGAAGAGGTCCGAGACGGTGCCACCATCGAGACCCCCAGCGAAGGGGGCGGGCCACCAGGAGTAAGGCCAGTGGGGGAGACAGCATAGAATCGAGGAGGGCCTTCCGGCGGAGCTTCGGGTGCGCTGTGTGAGGACATGGCATCCTCGGGTGATTCGGCGCGTGGCAGGTCAAGGGCGTTCACGCTCGGCTCTTTTTTCGGAGTCGTGTCTTCGTCCTCCTCGGGGTAATCTCCCACTTGGCTGGTCAGGTGCGACACCGCACTCAGACGAGGATGTTCAGACTGCGGGCGAAATTTGGGTTCCTCCACCTCGGGGCTCAACTTCTGCGTAGGTTGTCTTGACAGTTCATTGCGTCCACCGTGACCTCTTGCGCCAGTGGAAGAATCGCTCGACGATGGGGATCGAAAATAGCCGGGACGAGGCTGCGAGAGCGAACGAGCCACGCTGGACGGAGGCAGCCTGCTCATGCGCCGGTTCCTCCGTGCCGATTCCTCCAGTTGACGAGCAAGGAGTCGACCTTGAGCTGCGAAGGCATCGAGTGGAGAGAGCGCAGGAGGGATTTCACCATCGTAGTGCTCAATGCGTGGAGACGGAGCCCCGCTGCGAAGGACGTCGTGGGAGGGGGAGCGGTGTTCGAAATTGGGCCGGGAGGCCATGGTTATTATTCAGGATTCCTCAAATTGTTTCGAAGATAGAGAGATGTTCGGTTTCGTTTTCCGGAGTCAAAACAGGAACGACACGTAGGGTCTTAATCGATCAAATCATTAACCACCGTGGACGGGCGAGGGGTTCGATTGTTCAATCGCGTTGCATGAAGAATGTGGGATGACGGGAGTTGGAATGGGGGGAATAGTCGGGCAGCGCTTGATGCTCTGCACACACTGGTAAGCCGGAGGCGCGCAAGAACAGTTCTTCGAAGCACTGCACAGCTGACAGGTGCGGACAGGAGGGGGCGGAAGACACAAAGGAATGACAGCCCCAGGGAAGGAGATAAGCAAGAGGGTGTAGAAGAGAAAAGAATCGAACGAACAGTTCCGAACAGTAGATAGTAGATAGAAGGGGTATGGAGGTGGATGGGTGAGGCCGGTACTAAAGAGCCGGAGGGGAAACGGCACCCAATTGGTGTGGGTTGTGGTGTGATAAAGTGATGGTTTTCCCCGGCGGATAACAGTCACTACTTACCCCTACCACTATATTAGTAGTATGGAGTGAGAGGGCAGTTGAACAATCAACTAGTTGACAGTTCAAGAGTCGTCACACAAGGAGACCATGAACTGGCATTGCGGAGAGGAGAGAGAGAGAGAGAGAGAGAGAGAGAGAGAGAGAGAGAGAGAGAGAGAGAGAGGGGATAGGGAGGGAGGCGGGGGGGAATGGTAGAGAGATGGAAAAAGGGACTAAGAAGGAGGGAGTGAGTTTGAAGCGAGCGAGACTGGAAGAGCGTGTGAAGGACGTTTTGGCCCATTTGATCAGGTTCGAGGCAGGAGGTTTCGTTACTTTACTTTACTTTACGCCCTGACGATCCCCAAACAAGGACCGTCGTTCTGGGCGTCTCCACGCGGAGGGGAAGAAAAGAACGGTAACGCCATTACCGACGGGTGCCATGCAGTCTTCCCCCCAATCACTCCTGTTTGCTGGTGCCAGACAGTGCCATACACCCGCCCACAGGCCCATTCTTTCAGGGGTTGCCGTTTCCCCGTTACATACCCATACCGGACAGCTGACAGTTCCTCGGTCTTGGCATCCACCCAACTGCAGGCGGATCTTTACACCTTTTTTCTTTCGGTTTTTATTTTACCGGGGCGAAGTCAGGGGCTTGCATTACTATTGTTCGCTTTATCGATGATTATTGATGCCCGGACTCCCCCAAAGGTACCAAAGAGAGTTTTCTATCTAGCACGGGGAAAGCCTGTCCGTCGATGGGTTTGACCCAGCTTCTAGAAGGCAATAGCATTCTCGACCATCGTGAGTCTGTCTGTCGGGTTAGTGGTTCAGCCTGATTCGACGGTGGAGTCTGAACCGCACCGTGGCTCTGCGATGCTATTTATATTCGCTTCTTCCCACCCCCTGCAAATTTTCGTATCCCAACCTTGAGAACCGCTGCTGATTCGTTCATCGCGTCCCATGGGTTCTTTCCTCTCAGGTACCATTTGTTGCTCCAACGACCGCCGTTCGTTTCGCTTCTGCCATGGTGCCCTCCCGGCTAGTGTTGTTATTGCGATAGTCGCCCGTTGACTAGCCAGCCGGTCTGTGTAGTGCAAGGAGGTAGATCTTGTCTAAGATTCTGGGTAGATGTTTTCCACCCTCTTTCCGTCATCTTCATCGCTCGTAACAGGCAAAGTAAAACCAGTCTGAGGCAAGATGACCACCATCTGGAACAAATGTCTCATCTGACTGCGTTCTCGTTACTTGGACCTGTTGTCGTTGAGCGAAATATGCTGTAGATTGTTCATTCAGTTAAAAAGAGCGGCACCTTGAGGGGGGTGCGCGTCCTCAGCATGGACGCCTAAGTCAGAAGTCTTAGCCATCCCACATCATCGCCAGGGATGAGCACTATTTGATGACGATGGTGTTGATGATGCTTTTCTTCGTGTCCCCTTCCTAAGGACCTAGCAATTGGCCCCGGGGCATGTGCTCGTTTTGTCAGCTGGCCCGGAATCAGGCACAACGTTGCGGGAACGGCCAAACAGTCTAAAACGATCGCTAGCCAGTGATGATTGGTGCGACAATTTAAACACTGGAGCATCGGGGATTTCTACCGCTGGACCTCCGACCAGCTTCTTCTTAGACTTTTCTTTGGAGTACACCCACATCGACTCGTCAATAATAAGTAGTAATAATATCAGCTGCCTGAGGTACATATCTAGTCCTCTTCGTGGCCCTATCCAAGGCTGACACTCATCTGAGTCCATTATATTGAAACCTTATGGATCAGCGCTTGGTATCACCAACTGCTGACTGTCGAGCAATCTGAGAATGTCGGCAGGAAGCCCCGCTCGATCTTATCGTAAGATTGACTATCTACTTGCTTAGCAGTCAAGATATTGAACAGGGATGTTGCTGCAGCCAACGTTGTTCCTGACACTCAGTGGCTGGCAATAGCGCAAGGGAACCGACAGCCGTTGGAATGTCTCCATCCAGTGACATAAAACGGATTCCATCCATGGAAAGGACAATCAAATAAAATGAAAATGAAAAATCTCTTCAACCTCACAGACCACTCTCCCTATCGTGAGCTAATTGAGGTACGGAGGAGCAGCGGAGACAACCATACTCCCGTTTGTCCAATCATGACGCACGGCAGGCCGACTAAATGAGTATTTCGGCGACGCTCCGCCGAAGCTTAGGTGTTAGCAGCATGAGCCTAATCAACTCGAGATGATCAGTCGTTAAGGAGAAGAATACTAATGTGAAGGGGAGGGGGCGTGTGAATTTTGACAGGGACACAAAGGACAAACCTTCCACCCAATCTCTTTGTAAAACATCTCTGGTCGCGTTGTCCCTTGCGCTTTGTTCACCCCTCCACATCGAGCAGATCCCCATGTCTATCACCACCCCATGAAACAACTGAACACACAGCCCTAATTACTACCGCTTATACTATACTACCCTATAGTCTACACGCGACACCGCGACAGCCAAGCCCAAAGCGTGGAGCCCTCTCAACATGCTGAACCGACTGAGAAACCGCTCCCTCTACGACCTCCTCCACGTCGATCCCTCTCGAGACCGTGCCCACGTCTACGAAACCTCCTGGCTTCTCCCTCCCCTTCCCTACGCCATCCTCCGCGGCACCATCTCCCTCTACATCTTCACCAGCATCTTCTTCATCTGGGGCTGGAGCGGCACTCATGGCGACCGCGCAGAAATCGGCGAGAGCTTCAGCTACTTCACCTGGCTGACCTACTGGGGAATCGGTTTCTACATGCTCTTTGCCTCCATCCACACAGCCTGCTATGCACTTAAGGGCCACTCGGTCCTCTTCGACCGCTGGCCTCGCGCCCTTCGCGCCCTCCACGGCCTCTTCTACACCACCGTCACTACCTACCCTTTCCTCGTGACCATCGTCTTCTGGGCAATTCTCTACTCGGGACCTTGGTACACCGTGACATTCAGCGGATGGCAGAACGTAAGTACCCCTCCTCCACCCACTACTTCTTTCCCCCGCCCCCTATCTTCCAAATCTCATAGCGATATTAATGATATAATCAGATCTCCCAACACGGCCTCAACTCCCTCTACGCCCTGTCGGAAATCATCCTCCCAACCACCGCCCCGCACCCGTTCCTCAGTCTTACCGTGCTGATCTTCATCCTCCTTCTCTACGTCTCCCTCGCCTATCTCACCTACCACACTGAGGGGTTCTACACGTACTCGTTCCTGGATCCCGGTCCGCATGGCGAGAAGAGTGGCCATGTTGCGGGTTACTGTTTCGCCATTCTGGCGATCATCATCGTTTTCTTCTTGTTCTCGTGGTGCGCCATCTGGTTGAGGCGGAGATTGACGGGCGGGAAGGTGAAGAGGTCTGTTTACGATAGGGATTATGCGGGTGCTGGGGTGGGTGGTGATGTTGAGGAGGAAGTGGGAGTGGAGGAGTTGAGGGAGGAGAAGTGAGGTGTTTATTTATGTCTTCCTGTGGTTGATTACTTATGGGGTTCTTGAGTAGGAGATGGTGCGGGATGTAATATTGTGCGATGTGGTTAATATGCTATCCTGTGGGTTGAGTGGGATTGATGGGTATAGTGGCAATTATACTAATTAATACTGGGTTACTGTATAATACAGATACAGATGCGTATGGCTTTAACCACAGATATGTTACATATATTTGATTTAAAATCCCTCATATAACTACTTACTATGGATAAGAAGAGATGCAGTCAAGAAGAAATGTCAATATGACACGGTTAGAGAAGAAAGAAGAGATGAGATGATATCATTTAACACTACTCCGTATCAGGAACCGCCATCATTAAAATGCTTAGACCATTAAATCTTCTCCCAGCTCGTCTCACTACTCCCCCCACTCCCATTCTCCGGGGGTGTTTGTTGTCCGGTCCGCAACCCCAGCATCCAGCCTACCAGTCCAGCAGGAACCCACTCGCCGATGAAATGGTACGTCCGGGCCCCCCGACCAACATAGATGACAGGATTCTTGGCCACCCTTCTGCCGAAGATATCCTTCGATGGGGGGTCTAGTGCGTCCAGGACAGCGTAGTGTAGAGCCCGGGCTGGCGAGCCGCGGATCGTGCTAGGCCCGGCGGATGCAGCTGGTCGCTGTTCGATGCTGTTGAGATACTGCGAGGCGTATAGGGACCGCTGTTGCACACTCCAGGCAAGGACTTCCGTGCCGGTGATGTGGCTCTGGGCGTTGCGATACTGCGAACCCAGGTCGATGTTACCGAGCTTGAGTTCCACAACGTCGATGTTGTTCTGTTGGAGGAGGCTGAGTTCTCTGCGCAGGGAGGTTGCGAACCCTGACAGTGCGCGGGTGGTTGCGACTTCGGGTCCGGTGAAGGGAGCGGAGAGGGATGAGGAAATGGACGGGTAGGCGACGACGATGGTGCTGTTGGAGTTGCGGAGAGTGAGGAGAGGGAGGAAGATCTGGGTCGTGAGGATGGGGGAGAGAAGGCGGGTGTTGACGGTGTCGATCCAGGAGGAGGGTGGGATTGTGGCCACGGGGCCGGAGGCGTAGTTCGGAGAGGGCACGAGGATGAGGCCGCTAAGTTGGCAAGTGTGCGGGGGCACACCGGCCATGGGCGACTGAGGTCGAGAAATAAGGGAGTAGATCTCATTTAGGGAGGGATGTATTTCGGATGGTGAGGAGGGTGTCTGTTATATCGATATTGTCAGTTTGAGGTTAGATTCCTGCGAGGCGGTTGATTGATTGCACTTACGGCTGAGAGATCCAACCAGAGGGCTTTGATGTCTGCTCGATTTTCCGACTGCACGATATGTTCCTCCTCTGCAGATGTGACCGTCACGTAGACTATGTAACCTCGACGTTCCAAATCGGCGGCGATCGCTCTGGTCATCGGCTCATGGGGCGACCCGGCGACGACTGTCCCAATGATTAGACTGCGAAGTATAGAAAAAGTAGGAGATATCCATACCCACTATTTCCTTCCGGGCTCCATTTCCAGCTCGCCTGGCTCTCCGTCGCTTTCCGTTCAGCTTCTTATTCCCATAATACAACACACAACTGGTGCCCAAGAATGCGATGATGGCAGCACTCCATGCCCGGTTGCGCAAGAACCAACTGTGCACGCGATCAACGAATCCTCGCGGTATGGGCGGACTGGGTCGGTTTCTGGATACGGGCCGTACGGAAGTAGGTAGCCATGACTGGCTGGAGAGGGTATCGCGGAGTGCGTTGGCTGCGTGGTCCACTTGTCGGTCGATCGACTCGGCGACTTGGAGAGAATATCTCCTTACGTCATGCGGTATCGAGGCAAGCTGGAGAAGAGGAAAGCGTCAGTACAAAAGCGGCGAGCAGAGGGCGCATGCTACCAACTCACGTAGTCGAAGAAAAACTGGTCGTCACTAGTCATGATGATGCTGTCTGCTCAGGAACCCGAGCTTTCAGAGATAAAGAGGTTGATGAAGATTCGCCGGCAATGAAGAATCCGATTCTTATCGGCGGGCGGGTCACATGAGCCTTTCCGCCCTATTGGAGCGCCCGAATCTATACGGCTGCACCGTTGATGTGAATGCTGCACTATATGCAACAAGCATATGATGGGTCGTAAGGGTCTTGCTAGCAATCTTCATCATGCGCTGAACTGGTCCATAAGTTCCGAAAGATGGGGTTGGAACACCGAAGATAGCCGTGTTAATATGTCATTGATTTGGCTACTATATATTACTATCATTTCGAGTCTGCAACCTCTCAGTAGTAGTAGAACTCTTCAATGAAACTAATGAGTACAACGAGTGTAACAGTGCATGAAAAGCTGTCAATGCTAGTAATATCATGGCTATCTAAAATACCATAGCATTGCCAAAGCCAAAACTCCCATGTTAAAGGACCGGCTCCGACATGAGAGCAACCCATACTACTACAACGACTCGAGGAACAAGCGACTTGTCTGTGAAATTAAATTACATTCAAACATAACACGGGGTGAGGCGCTCACAGACGTCTCTGGGAATACACGATGGGTTGACGAGATTCCAGTGTGATTTTAGCATCCAAGCATGTTATAGTAGCTATGGTTAGGAAACCAATAAAGACAGGCACAATCAGAGCATTCTGTAGGGATCATACAAATAAGAACCTTCCATCATAAGGATAGTACTATGTACTTTGTAAACTTAGCACATAACATTATATTTGTGCCTCCGTCAAACAAACAAAAAACGATGGGGAGGAAAAAAGTATGACCAGACTGGGGCTCGATCCCAGGACCTTATCGGTGTTAACGATACGTGATAACCAACTACACCATCCGGCCAACTTGTTGAAATAATATCTCAACTTTTGCTTAACAATCTAAAGCTCTTACCAGTAGGTCAAGCGCACCGTTCTGTCGCTTTCAACCGGACAACATACCCATGTATTTGCTCTTCTGTATCACGATAACGACCATTATATCTATCGCGCAATTCTTATGGCCTCCTGCGCCACCAACCAATCCCACCAGCTGTACGGAGTAGGGGAACACCTTGCATGTCCATGACCTAAGTGTTTTCCCATATCATCTCACAGAAGAAAGGTCTCGTGTCGAAAGCCAAGAGTACTGAGGCAAGTTCGCGGAAGAGAAATCTTCCGTTCACTATAATAGGTATTTGCAGTGGTGGCCCACCAGGTTTTAGACTATGCTAATCCAGCCAAGAAAACGCAGATCGCGGAGGAATGACACTGCTCAGTCATACTCCATGTATGTAAAGCAAAGGAGAATCCTTCGTGCTTGACCTTTACATTGATATCCTGAGGCAGCAAGCATGGTCCGCTCAGTCAGCACTTCATCATAAGTCATAATCAGTCCCCAATGGTCGATCAACCATCAAAAACTGTGTGACACAAGAAAGCCGCATTGTATCTGGCGGGATAGAATCAGGCTCTCCAGCCTTATTGCTATCGCGATGTGTGGAGCAGGTCTGCCCCGTGCCGAGATAGTGTTGACAATCGCATGAAAACCGAGCCACAATTCGTCTGAAGTATATACGTCTTAACAAGAGCTCCCCAGTACACCTTCAGCCTACATGAAACATTAATTATCAAGCATACCCGGAACCGACAACTCCGACAAGCCTGTGCTATAATCGCATGTCTCGGCAAAGCGAGAAACCCTGGTAGTTCCCGCCTCCAGAGTGCGGCACGATATACTCCTGCCAGTTAAGGAGGGGCTCACGGGGAAGCTACTCACCGTTGTAGATCTCATGGACACTTGCGATTGTCTCACGAGCATCCCTGTTTGAAGGGTCGTGGATTATCCTCAAAGCTGCATTGGAATTTTGCTCTGTGACTTCCAGACGGGATACATTACCGTTTCCAGTTTCTAATATAACCATTCGAAAGCCTCTTGATCAAATCGTCAGATATTGGGAGTTCGACTATTTTCTATTTAGGTAGTGAACCCAATCCGCAATTCCAGTGCGGAAGAGTTGACCGATGTTTCGGTGTGGATCATTGTCCAAGATGTGCAATCCCTACTATGTAGACCGAATGATTGCGGGGCGCCTCAGCCACTGCCGAGTCATTCAGCCTATTTATCTAGCCGCCGTCTACATCGGCCGAACCAATTGCGTTTAAGTTCGGGATGGCCAACCACAGACTAGAGATCGCCCACAGTGTTCTGACTGCGTGTCTGTATGGTGAGAGAACAATTGGATGCCCCTCCTGAGTGCTTGACGCTTAGCTCGGTACCCTATTGGGGGCCAGATCTAGTCGCCCTGCCAAGTACTACCTCTTCTGATAGTTGGCCCTGCTATGAGCCGCTAATCGGTGGGAGTACGGATTGGTGATGTCAATATTGTCCTGCCCATGCAAGCCCCTCGGTCTCTCGCTTTCGTAAGGTGGCCGTCTGGTTGATCCGCACCAAGGACAACTCAACACAGAAGATAAAAAAAGGGCAGACACATTTACGCTACGTAAACGTTCACGCAGAAAAGGGGAAGGAGGTGGGAACCAATGGTCCAATTTGGCAATATACACGTTCCACCTTAGCATCCATGCTAGAGCTTCCTCGGTATAAAAGCAAGGGAAAGCCCCTGCTTACCAACTGGGTCGAGTACCCATCTTGGTAAACTGCCAATGCTATGTCTCAGCACTTTTAAATTGACCAAGCATATAGCACATTCGTTAGTTTGATTGCTACCCGTACCGCTATCGAGCTTTAAACTCGGGATTTCCCCTTTACCAACCCCGCCACTCCTCAGATCATGTTTTCATCCTCTCATCAGGGTTCCTTCAAGAAACTGGAGAAGGTTTGTGGTTCCTATTAGATGAGAAATGATGAAAGAGAAAAGAGAGGGTTTCTAGTGAGCCTAGTCGCTAATTATGATCACGTTAGCTGGGCCAGGGAACATATGCAACGGTTCGTTCAGCCATCCGTTGGATTCCTGATCGAGAGGTACAGCTGGTGGTGTCTGACAGCGTATCTACCTTAAATTCCAGGTTTATAAAGGACGCAATCGCGAGACAAACGAATTGGTGGCCTTGAAAGAAATCAATCTCGACGCTGAGGAAGGCGCTCCTTCAACGGCTATTCGGGAAGTCTCATTGCTGAGACGCCTCACACACGAGAACATCCTGACCCTGCACGATGTGATAAACGTCGAGGACAAATTGGTGCTGGTCTTTGAGTACATGGATCAGGATCTAAAGCGCTACATTGACACTCAAAGTAGCCCCCTTGACAACGCAACGGCCAAGTCTTTCGTCTACCAGTTGCTGTGCGGTGTCTCTTTCTGTCATGAAAATGGCATCTTACATCGAGACCTGAAGCCCGAGAACCTACTACTCAACCAGGATGGGCGGCTAAAACTTGCGGATTTTGGGCTGGGCCGTGCGTTTGGTATACCCATCAGCACATTTTCGATTGACGTGGTCACTCTCTGGTATCGTCCCCCAGACGTGCTTCTTGGAAGTCGCACGTACAACACCAGCATAGACATCTGGTCCGTCGGATGTATCATGGCAGAGATGTATACAGGCTCTGCATTATTCGCTGGAACAACAAATGCAGAGCAATTGTTGAAGATCTTCGATATTATGGGCACACCAACCGAACTCACCTGGCCAGGCGTCAGTCAATTGCCCGAATACAGAAACGACTTCCCGCCTCGCTCTCCACAAAGTCTGCAACAAATTATACCGTCGTTAGATCCTGTGGGGGTCGACCTTCTGGAACGCATGTTGCAACTACGTCCAGAAGCACGCATCAGTGCCACGGAGGCTTTAAATCACCCGTGGTTCCAGGGGCTTGATTAAATGATTCTCTCGATATACGTTATTTTAATATAGATGAGTTTTCTTCAATGATTTATTTGACCATAGATCCAGGCACTTCATACAGCAGTCATTACTATTATAATCTTTCCCTTGCGTTGTTCCAAGTTATGCGACTGCAAGGCGTTTCCAGGACTGGAATCCGTTTACGTTGATCTCAAGAATAGCAGAAGAACTTTGCAAGCGACTGCGAAGCAACAGTTGAGCCCCCTCCACGCAGAGCCCGGGATAAATTGGCATTTCCCGTCCGGATCCGCACTAAACCCCGTGAGCTGCGATAATTGGCGCCCGTTTCAGGTCGGGAATCAACCTTGCGAAGCCGATCACGTTGTGTCTTCAGGGACATCGCAGCACATTTTAGGCGGCCATTCTGATAGACCACATAGTTGTAGTATATCATACGATTTCTTCGCCCGTTGCTGTTGATGAAACACCTTCACGATCTCGTGCACAACGACATAGATTTTCGAAGATGACCCATGTTCGTAGAAAATATATTCGCTGATCTACCTCCGAGCATTGGCTCGACTGAAGGAGTAAGGAATATAGTAGACTGGTTAGGATACATGAATACTGAGAACCTTACCTACAAACTCGATGAAATATTTGCTTCTTCTGCTGGCCATGGCCGAAGCATTGACAAACCAATAGAGCCCTACATAATTGATCTTACTACACGCATCATCAGAACATGCTACAAGGCCATCAAGTTAAAGGGAGGAAAGGATCCACAACTCCCTAAACTCCATTCCACATGAACTATGCGCCTATTCAACCCAACTCCATGCTAACGTCTCAACCCCAACCATAATACCAGTCCCCTGATCTTATGCATAAAACCATCAACTCCCAGCTAATTTACCCGTAAGCCGGTACTCCTTTCTATCTTTCCCTCTTCTAGACTATTTCACCTTCGCCCTTAAGCTTCCAGAAACTTCTTATCATCTTCCACAATCTCGCCCTTAATCTTAGGCACAGGGACAGGAGAAGAGGGCACTTCCGCCTTCACCTTGCTAGCCTTTCCATTGGTCTTTCGGATTCTCTTGGGAGTAGGGGTATTAGGCGCAGATGATCCCGATCCATCAGGAGCAGCCCGCTTGCCCTTGGTAAACCTAAAGGTTATGGAGCTGCCAGGCTTGCGGTATTTGCCCAGCTGTTCGCTGAGCGCTTTGCCGGTGGGCTTGTCGTCTCCGGCTGTGGGGTCGGTGTGGTTAGTGATGAGATTGGGGTTATTGTGTGTGTGCGGGTGGGTGGATAGGTTGTATACTTACGCCAGGCATCGACGATCTTGTCGAGATCGATCTGGAAATTCTGAGTCTCAAAGATGAGGCGGAGGAGCTTGGTGAGGTGAAATGTTAGATTGTTTGTCTCTGGGTATGTACATACTGTATGCATGTGTGTCTGGGGAAGGGGTTTGGGGAGGGACATACAGTCGCCTTGTTCTCGTCGGTCCAGCGAGTCATTGTTCTACTTTTGAATTGAAGTTGTTGTGAGGTGGTTTTAGTAGGTGATCTTGGAGGTTCTGTGTATCTGAATATGTGCGCAGTTGAGAAGATGAAGAAGAGGGAAGAGCTCTGAGGAGAGAGAAGAAAGAAGATCAGGAGAGAAGGTCAGGAGAAGATAGAAATGGTTCTAGGAAGCGGCGGAGAGAGATTGTAGTGAATATCAAGAGAAGCAGATCGCAGGACTGTTGCTCACTTTAGTGTTACTGATGTAGTGGGCCTGGGTGGTTGTTGGGGAGAGCTGTTCTAAGTGATGAGATCTGGGAGGGCCTGCTTTGGCCTTTGACTGGGCTGAGATTAGATGTTTCGCTCTTTTGACATTTTCCTTAGCCATGTTTGATCTCCTGAGTGGGGTACATGAGGGCATTGCTTGCTGCGGTGTTCTAGATGAGGGCGGTGGTTGAGGAAGTTGGAGCAATTGTAAGGACATAACAGGGAGACTGATGCCAAAGTAGTCACTAATACATCCTTCTCTCAAGTAATTCTTGCCACTGTATTTCCTAGACACCTCTTTTAGCTTTCTTGAACTGTCTACTATAACGTACATTGAGAACTTTTCGGGTGAGCCACTATGCAGTCTCATTCAATACTTTACTTTAGAATATAAGAAAATTAAATCGCTCAGCCTAATTACATAGCTCCGCAATAACTACATGCTATATCTCCTTGGATTAATTTATTCATATAACATGTTGTAATATCGCTAATGCTATGTGAAACCATCATAGATTATACCGGTGGACTATATAGAGCGGGAGACACGCTCCTCAATTCCAAGTATACCCTAGCAACACTACCATCTAAATACACCAATTACACCTCACATTGTACTTACTATCAAGAGGACCAAAAATCCTTGTCAAATCAGTATAAAAATCGTTGAGTGGCTAACCACCCGATTGGCCATCCCAGCCTCAGGCACGTATCCACGTGACTCCGGTCCCTAGATGCCTGGATGCCTGGATTAGCAATCGAATCGGAGTGGCACTCAGTTCCTTTCTTTCCAAATGATTCTTTCCCCTGACCATCATCATTGTATTACCCCCTCTATCGCTTGGGGTCATGCCTTTTATTCATCTCAGCGTGTTACTATCCGGTTGGGACACGTTTTCCGTTCACTGACGCAGTCCAAGCGTGGAATATATCTGGTGGAGGCGGTAGCAAGCATCTGCATTTAGATCTGTATCCGCCTCTGTACCTCAAATAAGTTACTTTCCCTCAGGGCTCCTCGATATCATATTTTACCATCTTTCGCCATCCTTTTTCTTTTCATAGCGTGATCTTGAAGTTGTGTCTCCAGGATAATCGCCACCATGCGCGAAATAGACCCACTCATATTTGAATACCAGCATGAAAAGCAACGACCACGGGAATCGGAAGCGTTATTGATTCTCCGGAAGGTCGCTTCGCTGGTGAAACCCATCATGCGACGACGAGACTGGAAAGTCGGCACGCTCTGTGAATTTTATCCCCATCAGCGGAACCTGCTTGGGCTAAATGTCAATGCGGGCCAGAAGATCTGTCTACGGCTGCGGTATCCTTCTGATCAGCGCCAGTTCTTACCTATCGAGCAGGTGGTGGATACCATGCTTCATGAGTAAGTTGATACCCTATCTTCTATCACGTAGTCCACTTTGTCTTCTCTGCCTGAGGAAGAGTAGTGGTTGACGATGATTTGTAGGCTATGTCATATCGTGCATGGACCGCATAACCAGCAGTTTCATTCACTTTGGAACCAGCTACGTGATGAGCATGAAGAGCTTGTCATGAAAGGCTACACGGGAGAAGGGTTCCTTTCTGAAGGACGACGGTTAGGGGGACGTAAAATGCCCGTCGATGAGGCACGCCGTGTAGCCAGAGCAGCTGCGGAACAGAGACGGTCTCTAACTGCTGGATCTGGACGACGACTTGGTGGTGCACCTGTTCTGCGCGGAACTGACATGCGCCGAGTCATTGCGGATGCTGCGCAGAGGCGCATAGAAGTGACGAATGGTTGTGCCTCAGGCGCTGACAACAGTGCTGAACTTGCAGAGGAAGCCTCTAGGAATGGCTTCCGAACTAAGGCGGAGGAAGACGATGCTAATGAGCGAGCTATCATGGAAGCGTATATTGATCTGATTGAACAGGAAGAGCGTGAGAGATATGGCCCCTCTTACATTCCGCCGAGTCATGATAATCCCGCTGGTCCGCGGACAACGCTCTCTCCGCCCCCTGTTCCGGAGAACAGCAGGCCGAGAGGGCCCTCGCAGCCTGCAGAGACTATTGACCTTGTCTCAGATGATAATCTGTACGATAAGCCGTGGTCATGTCCGACGTGTACGCTCGAAAATCCAGCGAACTTTCTTTGCTGTGATGCGTGTGCATCAGAACGTCCGCGACCAACGACCACCAGGTCTGTTTCGGGCCCTCCTACTGCTACGGCCAGTTCGAGTCAGACAAAACCAGCAGTGAATAAGAACAAGCGGTCGATGAGTCCGTCGAGCAGGTACACGGGGTTCAAAAACCGGACTCGTGCTGTTGAATCATTAGCTGCCCTCGAGCGGGACGCCAACAAGCGTCCTCTCGGATGGTTATGTGATAGATGTGGAGCATTCATGGAAACGGAGTGGTGGACGTGTTCAAATTGCGGCTTGATGAAGCGTGCATCTTGATTAACATAGCATTTTGAGCATGGGTGTTTGGCGCAAAGAAGGTGTTTCCATTGTTTTGATATTCGCAAATTCCCATGAATTATGACCTTTTACGAGGTATGATTGTCATAGTATAAACCAGTTGTCACTGCTGATACGGCTTTGGATTATCTACTACTCCCACTGCACGATATGAAGTCCACTGTAACCTCAACAGAACCGTTAAAGTTAACATAGCAAAGCTATTTCCCGACAGAATCAAGCAGTAGCAGCCACCCGCTTCTCCTCCGCCGTCTGCACCCTCAACTCCCCTTTTGTAATCTTCCAGATAATCCAGTCACTCGCTGACCGATCATCATCAACCTCACCCTCCTTCAACGGCGGAATCAACGCACTCCCCTTAATCCTCTGCATAGTAACAGACCGATCCGGCCTCGTAAGCAACGCCACGCTCTGACGCGCCACACTTCCCTGCTCCCCAGGGGCCGTCACAACACGATGAAAAGCACTATGCAGCACACCTCCCGTCCATTTCATCAAAGAATCACCCACATTAATCAGCGCACACCCCGGTCTCGGACGAACATACTCCCAATTCTCGCTCACATTCTCCTCCCCCTTTGGCAGAATCTGCAGCCCACCCGAGACATTGAACAACATTGTCAGGGCGCCCATATCGGCGTGGCCACCTAGCGTTACCTGGGGCTCTTTGCTCTCAGAGTTAGTAGTGTTCTTGGTCTGAGGCCAATTGACAAGTAGTCGTGCAAAAGTGTCAGACTGCTTGTTTAGGGCGCTGCGTTCAGCTAATGTGCTAGGTGGGAGGCCCAGGTTCTCCTCGAGGTGGGCGTAGATAACTTCGAGTGTAGTACGGGCGTGCTCGAAAAAGGCCCGGCATTCGGTACGGTGATGTTCGATGGGCTCGGGGTTCTCGCGTGGAGGAACGTTGCCTACCATGTCGTCTTGGCTTATGCTGTATGTTTCCATGCTGTCTAGCTTGCCGTCGGCGGTGCGGAGTTTGCCGGAGCGTTTGTATCTGAGTTCATTTCTGTTTTAGATGCATGTGCTGGGTATTACTTATGTAGCTAGGAAGAAGTAGGCTTAAGACTTACCCTGCGATGTTGTGAGGGGGGTTGTAGGCGAATTTATCCAGGATTTGCCGATCCAGGCTTAGGGTGGTGGTGGTGAGATTCATTAGCGTCTCTGCATCTTTGAGTAATTGCTCTCCTGTGCCGGAGTTTCGAAGGTCGAGGGAAAATATTCCGAGTTCTCGACAGGCTTGGAATAGTTTCTTTGACTCGGTGGTGCTTGCATTTGCGAGGTCTTTGAATGATATTAACGGTATATCTGCGGTGGGGATATCGGAGGGGAATGGAGGGACGCGGTTGAAGAATTCCTGGGTGGGCATGATGGGTCTTCGGTGCTTCTAGCTACTGTGAGTCTACAAGATGAGAGGTGTTGAGGAATTGAAGATAGAGGATAGATGATGGAGAGCGTGACTCCATCTTGATATACTTTGACGATGACGGAAGGGGGTCAAGGGCAACGCTATCCAACACGTCAGATTACACATAAGCTAATGTAGGACGATAATGTATGGCAGATATCAATTGGTCAGAGATGTTCAGGTTTGATCTTCCTTGCATTCTCCAGCTGCTGTTGTGTGACTCCCCACATACTTCGTTCCTCTACTCCGGAGACAGCCTCGAAGGGATTGGTAGTCGATAGATATGATGACATCAAGCCAAGACTGTTCTCTCTGATCAGCTGTTAAAGAATCCAAAGAGTTGCAATGAGACTGACAGATATTGTTAGTTCATTTATTTACTCAGTTTTTGGCCTGGTGCAGCTGCTTGATGGTTATGTAAGTACTAGCATGCCATTGATTCCATAGTATTTAATATCTTGGTATTCCAATATAAAGTTATCTTGACATATTGATGTAGATTTCGACCTCGAAGCCAGCATCATGTTTGCTTATACTAATTGGCAATGAATATAACAGAATAGAACATATGTATAGAGGTCATGGTACTCGCCAACCAGCTAGTATACCAGACATATACTGGTATCCTGAGTAAGACACGTGAACACAGAACTTAAGCGCTCTATTTTCCGCGCTGTAAGATACATCCCTGCTACCAAAGTCATTGATAGCCTCTGAGTGTCCGGAAACCACCCAGAGAGCTTTTTAGAGTCTCAATCTATACAAATAGTGCCCTCCTCATAGTATCCAACGCTTTGTACCACACGCCTTGACTGCTGTTTATCCCCCGCAACCCAACCTAAAGATTAGACGAAAAGTAGAGAACATCAGCGTGATTGAACACTGAT